ACCGCCAGCGGCCGTAGAGCCTGTAGAGGAGGACGCTTTAGGTGATGCCTCAAACACTTCCCCCATCGTTTCCAAAAAAGAGGAGGAAGACGCTTTAGCTGATGCCTCCAATACTTCCCCTGTCGTTTACACAAAAGAGGAGGAGGAGGAGGACGCTTTAGGTGATGCCTCAAATACTTCCCCCATTGTTTCAACAAAAGACGAAGAGGACGAGGAGGAGGAGGAAGCGCCGGTTGATGCACAGGATTTGGAAGAAGAAGAAGTCTGAGAGGCCACCAATCGTTTCCAAGCCACTTTCTGTCCTCGTCGTTTGCTCGTTTTATCCAGTAAAATGTTGGATTTGAATTTGTAGACTTTTATGCACCGTTTTTTGCTTTTGCACAAATATCACTTACTCTGTGTACCTGATAAGCAGTTAGGGGTCATGCGGCTTTCTTCGAAAAGGATCGACTATTTTTAATCCTTCCTCATGGTAGTCATCTCTCTTAATACTCCTACTCCCATCTTGGTGTCTATCCGTTCATTTTGCAGATCATACTGTTAGTCGACACCTGCACTCGAAAGACATCCTCTAGCTGCTATTATAAAGTTACATGGTTAATAGACTTTTCCCCAGGCCCATTCATTCGAAGACAGAGTGCTTACAAGTTGTTGAGGAAATGACTTCTCTCATAGCGGGGTAGATGCCGTTTCTTTGTCTTTTAAACATAGGACGATGACCAGTCTTTCTTCACTTGAAGTGATTACTACAGAAGGCGCCTTACGCCTTCTCCCTACATATGTACTTCCTCCACAGTCATTGAAACACTTTCAGCAACCTTCGGACTCATCGTCGGAGTAGCCACTTAAGCTATTAATTCCAATTTAGAAAGTGTTGTCAGTCAGTCTCAAGTGGGTCCGGTCGAACGGTAATCTGCAAGTTAAACTGAATCAAGCAGGAGCGTAGGAAGCAGTTTTTATGCTGAATGCCCAGATTGAGTTAGGTGGGTAACCCACTGTGGAGAGGGTCTCACGGTTAGTAAAAATGATTCGCCCTCATCTACCACTGTCGGAACTCTGGCCTGGGTGACTGACTGAACTGCTTTTTTGGTGGTTGAGTGACTAGCAGTAGGCTGTGTTCAGATAGCCAGCTGCAGGCCTGACGCGTGCGTAGGTTTGGCTGGTGAGATGTCTACGCGCCGAATCTATTCGGCCGATTGCATTTTTGTCCTGTTATCCATCTTACTTAACAGCTGCTGTATATACGCTAGCAATATCAGCATGTACTTTAGTTTGCCTTGGTGCATAAATTGGGCAGAAGATTGCAGGTGGTATTATCGTAGAAAGTTAAGCAGTTTAAACCCTAGCAACTGTGATCTCCAGGCCCCGGTTCCTTAAAAGAAGGCACAAAAGGCCTGAGTGGTAGGAACAGTTTATTCTGTACAGAAGGGGTGGAGAATAGACAGGAATAAGTGGACTGTCAGACAAGCGAGCAACCTCTGGCCACAGCGTCGCGCCTGAAGTGAAGTGACCGCGGGAATCGCCACAGCATCTAGAGCGATCTTTGTGTGAATCGGCCTTGAAGTGCGATTTGCCAGACCGCGTGAGCAGGTGGAGGCATGTACGCACCTTAGCAGCAGTGAGTGTCCACAGCAGAGCATGCAGCTCTCTAAAAGGTAGGTCGAGGCTTGACATCACGTGAAGGTCTGTGCGGACTTGGGCCCCTACTGTATGTGAAGATGGCATTTCTTATTCACTCTGTTCAACCCCATTGCCAGTGACTTGGAAAGGTTAGCCTTTATGCAGTAGAGAGAGAAGAGACAGTGATGCCAACACGGGGCGCGAGGCATATATGATCCGCAACAGATCACCGCATTCTTCACATTGCGTCGGAACACATCATGAGCCTTGAGTTGGTGAGTTGCCCACTGAGTTAACTCGGTTATTTTCCTGACTGAAAGTCAGCCTTCAATGGCTTCTCAATTTAGCCCCTACGGAACCCTCAACCAGATGCGATCCTGGTGCCCTCGGGAACAATCGGGACATCATGCGGACACTAGGTCTTGTGTGGCACTCGTAGACGAACAATTGAACAATCCATATTGTCATTTTCGGACAAGTGAGTAGTGGGAATGGGGGTGGGGTGAGGGTCGACAAGTGAAGGCTGGTTGTAAGGGTAGGATTTGATGGAGCAGTCCAGGGGAGGTAGGAGGGGGAGACGGGGGGAGGGAGACAGACATAGCGTGAATGACTGCATGCCGCTAAGTGACTGTGGGTCATGCCAACTGTGGTGCTTGCAGGAAGTTCTTTTGTGCGCACAAAGCGGACTTCATCAGCGGTCGCTTCTGCTGTTGCTAGCAGGCGCTGACCCAGGGGCTTAGAATAATTTGGTGGGACCCTGTAGATCACTCGGAAAGCTTCATTGGGGTCCACCCGATGTCCAGGATCGACCACGTGCGCCAGAATAGAGCTGTTTATGCTCCTGACTTCACCTTTTCTCAGCC